CACTGTTCATCTTCACCTTCACCTTCACATCCACCTTCCGAGTTCCTCTATACTCCCCATCACTTTCACATTCTACCTCTACCACCCCCTATACGCCCCACCAGCCGCTCCTCCCCCGGGCCCTCCCGGTCCTCCACTCGCCGGCGAGTATGGCTTGTATCCCGGGTAGGCAGCCGCTCCCCCGTCATCCTGCCCTCCCATACCTCCTATACCTCCACCTCCCCCTTGCTGCTGTCCCATCCCTTGTGGTTGCGGCCTGGAATACCCTCCACTACTGAAATCAAACCCACCCCCACCCCCACCTCCACCTCCACCTCCACCACTGTTCACAGTGCCCACGCCCATGCCCATGGTATTTTTTCTCACAGGAGGTTTAGGCAACGGTCCCGTCGGCGCTGGGGAGGGGGTAGAGCGCATTATGTCGCCGTAACTGGCTGCTGCGTTGTTACCACCTCCATAACCGTTTCCACCGCCGCGGTAACTGTTGTTACCGCCAAAGGTATTTTGCCTCTGGCTGCCCTGGGAGTATGATGACTGCTGGTTTGAAAAACTGTCGTATCCTCCCCCACCTCCGCCTGTTACTCCCGTCGACTGAGGAGCGGGACTGTTGTGTCTAGGGCCGCCGAGGAAGGAGTCATCGCCTGCCATTTCGTAGGCTTGGTGGTTACCGTTCCCGCTGGATCCTCCGCCGTACCCGAGTCCATTGAGTTGTTGCTCCGGGCCGGGAGAGCGGCGGGTCATGGGGTTTTGAGGGTAGGGTGTGCTGTTCATCGCCGCGGGCGGGGAGCGGACGCGGTTAGGCCCTCCCATGCTCCCGGCTGCCATGCCCATTCCTGCGGCTACGCCACCGGCTGCCATGCCATAGGGTTGTTGTTGCTGGGAGCTGCCGTAACCGCCTTGGTCGCCGGTGTCGTAGTTATCGTAGGGTGAGGTGTCGTAAGGCGAGGTAGGCACGTTGCTGGTGCCGTAGGAATCGTAGGTGTTGTTTCTCGTGGTCTCGCCATAACGGCCGTAGGCATCTTGTTGTTGGTTGCCATAACCACCGCCAGGGGCGTTGTACCCTGCGTTTCCTACCGCAGCGGGCCCCATGGCGGAAGCGGCCATTCCGTATGGTGATGGGGATGAGGACTGGCCGTGGGGAGAGGCGAGAGGCACCTGGTTATACCCTTGGGCATTCTGGCCGTAACCACCATTATTTCCGTAAAGGCCGTTGTTACCAGCCGGAACACCATAGGGGCTCTGCTGGCCCCCTGGAGGTGGACTAGGTCGAGGTGTTGTTCCTCGCCCAGGTCCTGCTGCCGGGATAGCAGCCGCCGCACCGGACATGACCGCAGCCCCGGCACCGGCACCGGCACCCTGGGCAGTCGTCTCCTCCGGCTTCTTCAACTGATCCAGCTCCACAGCCTCCTCTTCAACCAACACCTTCTTGCTTCCTGCGCCCTCCCACTCCGGCATAGCAGGCAGCGAATCGCCCATCGTCTGCCTCTTCTTGTTAACCTCGAACACAGCATACTGAGGCTCGGATGCCTTGCTGTTGCTGTTATAAGAAGGTTCCGAGTACGACGGCGCCGGACGGCTACCGAAGCCGTGGTCCATAGGCTCCGGAGCCTTGTAGCCCTGATCGGGCGGAACGAAGGGCGCATCGAGGTACTTGTGTTTGCGAGACCCGGGAGGATCGCAGCAGCCGCAGCAGTTGCCGCAGCATGCGAGGCATCGGAAGCACTCGCAACAGCAGGAGAGACCGCAGCAAAGGCAGCGACCTATGCACCAGCATATCGAGAAGATGACGAGTCCGGCGAAGATCATAAGCCCGATGGCGGTCCATCTGTGGGAAGAATGTTAGTTGGAGTTTGGCGTTGTCAACAAGGGTCGGATTGACGTACTTGCAGTAATCAACCTGCATACAATTGTCCCAACTTGAAAACGCTGTCTTGGCATCGTTGAAATCTTGGACGACATCTCTTTGTTTCAGCGCCGGTTGGACGCTGCGCACCAATAAGTTCACAAATCCATCTACGATTCCCCCTTGGACACTCCTCCTCATAGCCACGTCTATCGTCGGCATTTTGTCGATTCTTTTTGTATCCTTCTAATCGATGTTTCGTCCGCTGGTCGGTGCGGATCTTGGACAGGCCGGAGTGATGGACGACCTGTCCAATCTGTAAAAGTTGGGTATCGATAAAAAAATAACTTTTGCAGTCGCTGCTAATCTCTCATTGTTTTTCGTATTCTTTTTCAGTTATTATCGTCCAAGTTCGTGATGCGACGTGCGATCGATGTTGCTTGTTTCTAGTTGCGAAGACCGGCGCGATGGGTGGTATCTTGGAATTCGATGAGTCGTTTATCGACGGTAAATCCGAACAAGAAAGGATTGTAACAGGTAGGCTATGCTGAAAGGAATGAATAGTGCGCTTGCGTGCAGAATAATGGGTATCGTGAAAAGAATGTGTCGTCTGCAGTGTACCGATGAGATACTGTCTGAATGCGTCGTTCGTGCGTTCGTTCAAAGATGGCGAAGTCGAAGTCGAAGAGCGAAGTCGTCGGTCGGTTAAGCGCGAGCGGCGAAGCGGATGGATGGATGAGCAATCCCAAATCCAACGACCTGAATCAAAGCCCGAATGCAATTGGGCAAGGCGACTCGAAGGATGAACAAAGTACAGTATCAGAGTGAACCCTCTTTGGTGGTGGCCGTTGTAGCTGTGTCGCCAGGTTGGACAAGACGGTCGCACAGGTCGGGAAGGATGTCGCACTGACTGGTCGTCTCAGATTAATGTTGAAACCAGGGCAGACAGACCGCAGTAACGGTAGCAATGTGCAAGACAGCGGGAAGTGAGTGATTGTGAAGGGAGAGGACGAGGAGAACGAGTACCAACACCACTCGACTGAAAAGGGGTAGTCAAGGTAGTGCAAGTACGTTTCCTCTAGGTAGACGAGGCAACGAAAGAACAAGCGAACCCGACGAACGCTCGGAAGGAAAAAAGATGCCCTCAGGGAAAAAGATGGATTTGTGTGGGAAGGCGTAAAAAGGCACACACCAAAGGGAACACCCACACCCAAAATGCGGGTGAGTGGCACGGGTACCTAGTGCGCCTTCGAATGACCCGCTTCGTGCCTGTTCCTCTTCCACAATCCCGGTTCAGCTGCAAGGTACGGACGGGCTTTTATGGGCTAGGAACTGGGTCCAACGCCAGGGGTGATGGTGGTGACAAGAGGGGACCACGGGAAACAAGGACGGGGCAGCAGTGGACTGTTCTTGGGTGGGATTTACTCACCAGGGTCCTTTCAGTGTTCCTCTTCAAGAGTTTTTGGGTCAAGGGTGAAATGGTGAAACACCAAGCTAATGCGCCTTGATTTGCGAGATCAGTGGGATAGGATAACCAAACCGTCGTACAGATTCGGTAAAATGCCGTGATGCCGGTGACCGGAGATGTCGATATGCTCTTGGGTGTGATGTGATGTGCTTGCTGACGAGGAATGTAGATGTAGATGTACAATCCCTAGGTAGCATGCCATGAGACTGGAATCCCAAGAATCCCGAGCGTTGAATTTGCAATTCGCAATCGTCAGCAAATGCTCGCTACTTACCGAAATAAGAAAGCCGCAAGAAAGAGAGCCGCGGAAGGGGATGAGCATACACAGCCTTCTTCCCATCTCTTGGCCTCGCCTTGGAGGCAAATACCGCCTGTCCAGCACAGGGTCACAGCACCGAGCCTCGCCAACAGGCACCTGCGGGCGGATTCGCGCGTGTGCGGGTGCTTTCGCAGAAACAGAGACCGGATGAACATGTCGCCCATTTACACAGTTTCGCGGCAATTAGGGCAGTACAAGTTCGTCAAAGCTCACGGCCACGTGCAACGCCGCCGCCGTCGCCTTCGGCGGCCCCTCCCACTCGAAACGCACGGCCGGGGAACAGAGAAACGAAAGTTAAGAGGTGGGATCCACGGACGGGAGTTGCGGAGTGGGAGGCCTGTCGGAACGTTGGGAAGCGAAACGGTCCAAGATTCCCGTGCAGTCTACAATCTAACCCTGGTATGTTTGTTAGCTTGGTACAAAACAGGGGGGAAGACAGGCATGCAGTTGTAAGAGGGTGCAGGTGCAATTGAGAGGGAAGAGTGGCCTCTTAACTATAAAATCGAGCGATTGATTCTGGGCTCGATCTGAGTGCGGTGATTTGCTCGTTTGGGCGTTTGAATGAGGGCATTCAGAGATTGCTCTCCGTTAGGCGTTTGAAATGGTACGGGTAAGCGCTGTAATGCCCTGTAATCTGGCTCAAAAGGGAGTCCTACATTCCCGTGGTCACGGTAAGGTGCGCGGTGGCGTTTTTTACCCTGGTCGCATTGTCTGGACTCGAGTATGACTAAGCAGGTGCACAGACCATATCCTCTCATTGAGCCAATCAGACAGCTCGCATTGGAGTGCACTGACCACTTACACCCCTGCTCCTGGGTATCACGCTAACAAACAAACCAGTCTTATATTGTATCCTAGCCTAGCAGTTGCCTAGGAAGGAGGTGAGGACGATCGGGCAAGACGGGTCATGAGGGTGCAACAAGCGGGGTGCAAGATTGCGATGGTCCTTCTTGCAGGGGGGCAGGGCAGTGATGAGGTGCGTGCGTGGGCGCTCGCGGCTGAGGCTTGTAGTGTAAAATGCCATCTTGTGATGCTGATGCGCGCGATGAGCGGGCAGTGTATGTAGAGATTCCCAGCTGAGAGAAACGCCATGTTGAAGACCTCCAAGTCTGTTTGGGTGGTGATATCGGTTGCAGGGATTTGGCGAAACCACCAGAGAGATGATGAATTGGGTGGGTGAACGTGCGGGCAATCATCAGGTGATGCGTCATTGCTCTGCTGCCAGAGCTCGAGCTCAGCTCTAATGAGAGGGGTTAGGGTTCTCTATGCCCAGCCTGGCCTGCTTACCTGCAGCTTCCCCTCAGACCCTCCTCACCTGACCATATAAGCCCTCCCGCGGAAGCAAGTTGTCAACCAATAAACCAGAAAATGGTCACGTAGCGGAGTGGTTACCGCGATGCTCTTGTGAGTTACCTCGACCCCCGAGCAAGAGGAAGTGTTTGTCCCATACTAACACACGCAATTAGATACCTCCAAGCCATTGGAAGTTATGCATAGGTCCTGGGTTCGACCCCCAGCGCGACCACAGGTTTCTAATTTTTTTGCTACTTTTTGCTCTTTCGCTTGGTTTCCATCTGTTTCTTTCCTTTGTGTCATGCGTCTCAACCCAAGACCTCGCTCACTGGTAAGGTATCTCTCGATGGCGGCACACGATGCAGCTCTAGGACCTGAGTGGACACCTCCAGCTTCCTTATCGCTTCGACGTAACCCGCCTTCTTGTCTTATCGCTTCGCTTGGATGGTGTCACTGCCAAGGGTATCCCGGTAGTAGCTCCGTCTTCCCCATCCCAATGTCCACGGCGGAGGAGTTGCAGCATCTCATCGTCAGCTCACAACACTTTTCACGATGTCTGCGATGGTGGTTTACCGTCACGAAGAAATTCAATCACTTCCGACCCAAACGCATGTCAGAACTAAGCTTGCAATTTATTTGTATGTTCATTTCGCTTATCTGGAGAGCCTAATGCAATTGCGTATACTGGGTGAGTGGGCGGGATCTGGAAGCCCCAACATTCATGCTCTATTACCCATCTACATCCCTACTGGTTTCAACTCAAACCATCCAAAACTCCCCATTCCGCTAGTATTGCGCTTAGTTGTACTGGGCATAGGCCGCAGTAGAGTTGAACTTGAGGTTGCCCTTGATGACCTTGTCCACCGCACTCAAGAAATCCTTCTCCGACGCCACCTTCCTGCGCGCACGAATGGCGAACATGCCCGCCTCCGTGCAAACACTGCGCAACTCGGCACCCGTCGCGTTCGGGCACAGGCGAGAAATGAGCTCCCATCGGATGTCACGCTCGACGGACATGCTCTTAGCGTGGATACGGAGAATGTTGGCACGGCCCTCGAGATCGGGAAGAGAGAACTCGATCTTGCGGTCGATACGTCCAGGACGCATCAGGGCGGGATCCAGCGTGGAAGGACGGTTAGTAGCGAACATAACCTTAATGTTGCCACGGGCATCGAAACCATCCAGCTGTGTAATAAGCTCCAACATGGTACGCTGGACTTCGTTGTCACCACCCGCGCCGTCATCGAAACGGGCTCCACCGATAGCATCGATTTCGTCGAAGAAGATAATGCATGCCTTCTTGGTGCGGGCCATCTCGAAAAGCTCGCGGACCATACGAGCACCCTCACCGACGTACTTCTGAACCAGCTCGGAACCAATGACACGAATGAAGGTGGCGTCTGTCCTGTTGGCGACGGCACGAGCGCAAAGCGTCTTACCGGTACCGGGAGGACCGTATAGCAGGGCGCCCTTCGGGGGGTCGATACCGAGGTTGACGAACCGCTCTGGCGACAAGAGAGGCATCTCAACGACCTCGCGTAGCTTCTCGACCTGTTCCTTGCAACCACCGACATCGCCGTATGTGACGTCAGGCTTTTCCTCGACCGTCATCATGGTAACGCTCGCATCGATCTTGGGCGGCAGCGGGAGGAGAATCTGATACTTATTTCTGTCGACGCCGACGCGCATTCCCTCCTCGATATCTGTCGGACTGACCCGCTCGCCCAGCTGGACCACGAACTTGGCGATCTGCTTGACGTTGATGACGTACTTGCTCTTGGACTCGTCCTTCTCGTCGGGGATGATCTTGGTGCACCGCGCTACCTGAAGTGGCTGCTCTTCTGACATGCGCTGACGGTCGGCTGCCACATCCCAAAGGTGAGGGGGCGCAAGGCCGGTATCTGATTCCTGTAGACCGAAAGTATCGCGGGTCAGCTGGATGCGCTTCGCGGTTTGTAATAGGTAGGCAAAGGAATGACTAGCATACCTTGACGCCAATCTTCTCGTCCACACTCTGCTGCTTCTCCTTTATTTGCTGTTCTAGCTTCTTGATGGCAGCACCGTAGGGCGCGGCGCCGTATGTCTTGAGGACCTGGATATCCCTTGACGGGGGGTTAGACGACTCGTTCGTTATGGTGGCGGGCTGTTTTTTGGGCGGCAACATACTCGTCTGAGAGGGGAGTGATCTTTTTCTCCTCGACTTCATCGTCGGCAAATGTTTTCCTGTACTTCTCCCAGTTTTGACCTGTGGCAGAAGGCTACTCGAGGTGTCAGATTATGTATAAAGTGGCGGCAGCTTCTGGTAGGGCGACTCTGCAAGCATACCATGATGACGGCGGGTGGGAATGACGCTTCCCGTTTGGACTAAGGCGAAGAAGGGTTGATAATCGAAGGGTCGGGGTCGGTAAATAAAGTCGCGATGGTGCCCGTCGAGCGTTTGTTTGGTGGTGTCGGGTCGTTCGTGGGGTAGAGATCTCGACGCGGGTTTGATGTGTAAGGTAGTGTCGGGTTGTTTGGTTGCTTGAAGGTAATGGAGATGGTTCGTCAAGGGCCAGTAAGGTCGGAGGCTACGACTGCCACTGACAGAGGGTCGAAGCTCAACTGTTGCCGTAATCCATGCGCTGCCTTGCGGGCGAGGGAGCTACGGGTGGGTGCCACATGCACAGCGCCTAACCTAATCGGGTTAGACTGTGTAAATTACAGCGCCGCAGGTACCTTTTCCACCGCCCACCGCTCAGCAGCCGACAAAAAATTACCACCTGCCAGCCCACCTTTGCGCCCGCGCCAACACTTTACGGTCCCGCAGTGTGGAACATTGGTACGGACGGTGTGTGTTTTTGGGCCATTGATTCCAGACCAGCAAAGAAGGAGATAACAACACAACACCCAAGCGCAAGCCGATTCCAAAGTCGATAATTTCCGGCAGTTTCTGGCCCATCCGACCTCTACTATCTCCCATAATCCCAAATACCAGATCACAGCTTGCCACCATGGCGACCGCACCGGTAGCTACTCAAACGACGAGCAATGCGACTTTCAGGGTGCGTGTCCCGCTTTTTGGAACCTGACCCCTCGATAGGAGTCGGTGCGAAAGCTCCAGGAGGGAAGCCACTTGCTGATACCCCACGATGTGAACAGGACAAGGAGAAGCCCGTCGCCGTTCGTTCGTCCAACATTGTCGCCGCCAGAGGTATGCATATACACTTTAGGAATACCTGCTGTCAGCTTGTCTTGTGGTGGTGCTAACGCGGACATGCCACCAGCCGTCGCCGATGCCGTCAGAACGTCGCTGGGACCGCGGGGTATGGACAAGATGATCAGGAGTGGAAAGGGGGAGACCATCATCACCAACGACGGCAGCACAATGTTGAAGAGCATGTCGGTCATGCACCCCACAGCCAAGATGCTCGTCCAGCTGTCGCACGCCCAAGATGTCGAGGCCGGTGATGGCACAACCTCCGTCGTCGTCCTTTGCGGTAGCTTGCTTGGTGCCGCCGACAGGCTACTAGGCAAGGGCATCCACCCCTCAGTCATCTCCGAAGCTTTCCAAAGAGCCGCCGCCGCCGCGGTAGACGTCCTCCACGACATGTCGCAACCCATCGCCCTCACAGATACCGCCTCCCTCCTCCAGGCCGCCAACACCTCGCTCTCCTCCAAGATCGTGTCACAATACTCCAACCTCCTCGGCCCCATGGCCGTTAACGCTGTCACCAAGACGATAGATATCAAGACCGCCGAGAACGTCGACCTCAAGAACATTCGCATAGTCAAGAAGGTCGGCGGTACGATCGAGGACTCTGAGCTGGTTGATGGTCTCGTCCTTACACAGCCCGTCATCAAGAGCGCTGGTGGTCCCGTCAGGATGGAGAAGGCCAGGATCGGTCTCATTCAGTTCCAGCTCAGCCCTCCCAAGCCTGATGTGCGTATACCTCTGCATACTATTACAAACCTTGATTGGCTTCTTGTCATCTGAAGCCCTACCCCTATTTATACCGTCACTAACAACCTCTTCTACAGATGGAAAACACCATCTCCGTAAACGACTACCGTCAGATGGACAAGATCGTCAAGGAAGAGCGCACCTACCTCCTCAACATGGTCAAGAAGATCAAGAAAGCAAAGTGCAATGTTCTCTTCATCCAGAAATCCATCCTCCGCGACGCCGTCAACGACCTGTCCCTGCACTTTCTCCAGCGCCTCGGCATCCTCGCCGTCAAGGACATTGAGCGCGACGAGGTCGAGTTCATTTGCAAGTCGACCGGCTGCAAGCCCATCGCCGACATTGACTCCTTCACCGAGGACAAGCTCGGTTCGGCCGACCTGGTCGAGGAAGTCAACTCCTCCGGCTCCCGCATGGTCAAGGTAACCGGCACCAAGTCGGCCGGCAAGACTGTCTCGGTCGTCGTCCGCGGCGCCAACAGCCTCATCCTCGACGAGGCCGAGCGCTCCCTCCACGACGCCCTCTGCGTCGTCCGCTGCCTGGTCAAGAAGAAGGCGCTCATCGCCGGTGGCGGCGCCGCTGAGATTGAGATTGCCTCGCAGCTGGCCAAGCAGTCGCGCGCCCTGAGCGGCACCGAGGCCATCTGCTGGAAGGCGTTCGCGGACGCCATGGAGGTGATCCCCACAACTTTGGCGGAGAACGCCGGTCTGAACAGTATCAAGGTGGTGACGGACCTGCGCCACAGGCACGAGAACGGCGAGAAGAACGCCGGCGTCAGCATCAAGAGCGGTGGTGTCAACCCGAATATCGCCAAGGAGAATGTTCTTCAGCCCCTGTTGGTCAGCACGAGCGCGATCCAGCTGGCAGCCGAGACGGTGAAGATGATCCTCAGGATTGACGATATCGCTCTTAGCAGGTAGATGTACTGATAAGGGTATGGGAAGATAAAAGAAGGAAATGAAATGAAAGATGATATAGAAATACTGTATGTGTAACATGTCCATATTGTAATTAATGGTTCTGGATGAAACATTCATGCATGACTCAGGTAGATATTCCGTGTATGAACCGCTATGAGGACGACTCATCTCATTCTGAGGGGAGGCTGTTATAAGAAAAGTCGACCTACGGATATGACATATTGTTCTGTACACACAAGACACGACAACCCTTAAATCATGAGGATAAAAACCAGCAACCTCTTTTTCAAACTAAATAAATACTTGCGCCAATGTGCTCCGACTTATCGTATACGACTGATTAAACAAAGAAACGCTGAGATGCTAAGGTAT